CTTTTCCCATTCCGTTGGTTGCCTTTTAGTTTTGTTGGTTATTTACTTTGCTGTGCAGAAGAGTCTAATTTTTAAAAATAAACTAGGAGAGAAAAAGCAAGTACTGTTTTACAGGGAAGTATGTAATCTTTTTATTCCCAGAGGCTTGTGTCTTTTTCTGGTTTCCTTCAAATTAGCTAGAATGGCCAGAAGATGACCTGGCTAATTTCAAAATGACCTGGCTCATTTCATTATTTTACATAAACACCGGCATGGGGCACTCGCAAATGAACGAAACCCTCGCTTGAGGAAAGATCAGTCCCACTTAAATTTCCATTCATGTGGTTTGCCGGGTTTGAATCCTCCTACAGCTACTTTAGCAGCCAACGGACACGCATCTCCTGATGGCGCTAGGACCCACCCGCACCTGACTTCAAGTGGAAGAAATGCTGTCCAGCTGTGTCCCGAAATTGCTTAACAAATAACACTTACAGGTTATTTCTTCACGTGCTTCCATGTGCTTCCTTATTAGCCAGGTCTCCCAGGGGTACCTGGGGAGTTCCAATACCAGACATGGTGCTCTTTGCCAAAGAAGGTATTCAATCAGTGGGAAGGGACACAGATTGTGGTTTTAATTTTTCCGAAAACAGTCTTTGGTTAGAGGGCCGCCCCCCACCCACCCCCCCAAAGCGCAGATGCGAAAATGACTGTGCTCGGTGGCACCCTGGCCCGCGCTGGCCTGCCGGCCCCAACGGCTTCCTCTCCGCAGTTATCGACGAGGAATGGCAGAGAACCCAGTGCAGCCCCAGAGAGACGTGCGTGGAGGTGGCCAGCGAGCTGGGGAGGAGCACCGACACGTTCTTCAAGCCCCCCTGTGTGAACGTGTTCCGGTGTGGGGGCTGCTGCAACGAGGAGAGCCGCGTCTGCATGAACACGAGCACCTCCTACATTTCCAAACAGGTAAGGGGACATCCGCCCGCAGCCCCCTCCGAAGCCCCGGGGGACAGGCGTGCCGCTGAGCCCAATGTCAATGGGCACCGGCTCATTTCATCCCTGAAACAAATCAAGAGGGTATCTTATTATAGATGAGGAGACTGAGGCTCAGAGAGCTGAGCCGTGGCCGAGCTGGGATTCAGATCCAGGTCTGTGGGACTCCAGAGCCTGAAGTCCCTCTGGCTTTAGAGCAGATTGCCTGGGTTCAAATCCCCACTCTTCCACTCAATAGTTGTGTGGCCTTAGGCAAGATATAGAACCTGTCTGTACATCTGCTTCCTCCCCTGTAGAGTGGGGGTTGGCTAAATACAAACCTCACCGTGTAGCGCATGATGTCGTTCTAGCCTCTCTGATGCTCTGATGTCGAGAATCTGCACTGTCTTGTGGATTCGTTGGGTTCTGTGCTGTGCGAGTGGAGTGACTGAGAAGAATTGGACGGGTGGGGCTGTGGGACGGAGGAAGAGCTGGCGAGATGCCCTGAGCTGGCAAAAATGGGGAGCTGTTCTCACCCTTGGACTGAAGAGGCTAGGGGCTCGAGCCGTTTCAGGAACCCAGAGAGAACGGGGAGAAGAGGGCTGCGGGTCCGGTTGGAGGGGTGGGGGCAAAAAGTCGGGGGCAGAGGGTGGAGGATGCGAGGACCTATAGATGCAGCCGTGGAGGCCAGCGTCTCGAGACACCGAGCCCAGTGGGGAAGGAGAGAGGATGGCATCTTGGGAGGGGCAAATGGAGCGTATCTGGCACAAAAGATCTTTGAGAAGAATTCTCTCGTCCCCATGAAAGAAATAATTCTTCCCTCTCCATCTTGGAAAATCTCTTTCGCCCCGTAGATAAGTTTTTCTTTCTATCACTGCTACTATATTGTTGTGAAATGTAATAGATGTGGCATCGAAGAGCAGTAATACCAAACTTAGGAAAACATGTTAAAAGGCTGTCAGTCCGACTACATTCCTTTTGGTTCTCCGTTGCAGATTCCTCGCACGTGTTGATATATTTATTTGTCACATTTGCCTATGCAAAATGTGTACATTTTGCTCATGATTGTGTACAGAGGTAGTACAATAAAATTACATATGTCCACGAAAATATCCATGGTGGGTAATATTTTTAATTGGATGGAAAGAATGGAATGCCGATTTGTTTGGTAATAAGTTAATTTATGCTTCATTTTGTTTCCCCTACCCCCTAAAATTGCCCACAAGCTGTAGAGTTTCTTTCTCTAAATTCTTTTAGAGAATCTCGGAACTTGTAAAAACTCTGACCTTTTACTATTTGACAATCGGCGGGGGGTAGTGGGAAATGACCACATTATTCCCTAAAAAATTCCTGAAAAATTTCGCAAGAAGTTGAAGTTTATGCAGAGTAAGCACTCTAAAAACTTTCTCTTAGTTATACTCATAGAACTTCTATTACATATCAAAAGGTCAGAATAAACACAACTTTAATGGATTGTTTCCACTTAATAGAGAGTTGAGTACTTTATTTTGACTGCTGTACTCAACAAATGATTAGTTTTAAAGAATGTACTTAAGGGTAAGTGTACAGGAGTTTTTCTTGCCAAATATGCATTCTTGAACATTTGCACAGTGGTTTAAAAAAAACTACCTCTCGCCCCAAAGTTATGGACTATTTGATGACCTACATCTTAGAAACAAAGTGAATAAATGAATGCTGTGTGTAGTAAAGACTACTTGGAATGGGGATTGAATAAACAGAACACTAAAGTCAAGTTCAATTTTGTCCATACACCATAGAGCCACTCTAGAAACAAAGTAATTGTCATGTCTCTGAATTCTACTTGTCAAGATCCCACCTTGCTTCTTCTGAAATTTTGCTTCACAGAAATTTTGTTCCAAAAAGTTAATAAGACATATTCTTAAGAGTATCACCTCTGGCTCTAGAGCAAATTGCCTGGGTTCAAATCCTCACTCTTCCAATCAAGTTGTGTGGCCTTAGGCAAGTTATAGAACCTCTCTGTACATCTGTTTCTTCACCTGTAGAGTTGGTGGTGGATAAATAAAAACCTACCATGTAATGTCGTTATAAGGGATAAATGAATTAACATAAAACAGGGCATATAGAAGCAGAATGAGGAACTCCTGGGTGGCTCAGTCGGTTAGGCATCTGACTTCGGCTCAGGTCATGATCTCACGGTTCGTGGGTTCGAGCCCTGTATCGGGCTCTGTGCTGATGGCTCAGAGCCTGGAGCCTGCTTCACATTCTATGTCTCCCTCTCTCTGCCCCTTCCCTGCTCATGCTCTGTCTCTCTAAAAAATAAATAAACATTAAAAAAAATTTTTTTTAATTTAGAAATGGAATGATATTCATGTTACCTATAATTATTTGGTTGGGTGTGATGATCTTGTATCAGTCAGTTACTACTGTGTAGTGCTGCATAATAAACACCCTGAATTCTTACCCATGTATGTAAGATTCAGTTGGTTTAGAGTGGGCTCAGTTGGGCTTGACTCCAAGCTACAGATTGAGTGCAGGTCTGTCCCCCGGGTCTCTCGTCCCTTGGCCCAGCACGCCTGCGAGATCATGCTCTTCTCATGGCTACGGTGTACGCAGGAGAAAACAAGCCCACAAAGCACACACAGTTCAAGTTTGCCGTTGTGTCATGTCTGCTAACATCCTGTTTGCCAAAGCAAGTCACATAGCCAAGTCCAAAGTCAAGGAACAGGAAACTATATTCCTTCAATGGAGATGGTATGAGAAGGGATAAGTAAATAGTCTCAAACAATAATCTGTTTGCCATGGTCTCAAAGAAACTTCATAGCTAGAATTTCACTTAGTCCTTATAATTTACACTCAAATGAAAACAGGAGGAAGGCCCAACAGTGCCATTTTCAGGGATACCAGTGACACTAAGTGTTAAGAGATTTGGTCTTAAATATTTGGTAAAGTTGCATAAGCCCCCAGTCTCCTGACTCCCAGGCCAGTATCCTTTCCATCATGCCAGCCTTTATCCTCATTAGTTCGATTCTTTTAAAACAATTTTTTTAAATGTTTATTTCTTTTTGAGAGAGAGAGACCGAGTGTGAATGGGGGAGGGGCAGAGAGAGAGGGAAACACAGAATCCAAAGCAGGCTCCAGGCTCTGAGCTGTCAGCAAAGGGCCTGACGCAGGGCTCGAACCCACGAACCGCAAGACCATAACCTGAGCCAAAGTCGGACACTCAACCGACTGGGCCAGTTAGGCACCCCTCATTAGTTCTTTTCTTAATGGATGGCTTTCCTAAAGTGAGTGCCATAAGGACAAAGGCAAAAATGCAGACTGTAGAGATTATCATCTAAAAATATGTAAATGTTACGGTTCTCTTTCTCTCCTCTAGCTCTTTCAGATATCAGTTCCTTTGACTTCAGTACCTGAATTAGTGCCTGTTAAAGTTGCCAACCATACAGGTTGTAAATGTCTGCCAACGGCTCCCCGCCATCCATACTCCATTATCAGAAGATCCATCCAGGTCCCTGAAGAAGATCAGTAAGCATTTCTTGTATTCAGTTACGCTTGTTCTTGCCTTTGCTAAAGCTGTGTGTGGAGAATACTTCATTAATTATACAGTCATCGCTTTCAAGTTCATCATCTTTAAGCTTCTAATCCAGATCTACTGGTAATAACTGTTTGGCAAATAATGTTTTTTATTAGGTGTCAGATGTATATTGTAGAGGGACCAATAACTCGGTGGCTAGGAACTCACCACGTCTACTTGTAGACACCTTTGTTCTTAATGTGCATAGTCCGGTGCAGCCGTAACACTCTACACCAGTCTCCAATTTGGCACACGTTCCCTTCGTCCAGAACAAGCGTTACATGAAACTCATTTCTGGCTCTTTATACTTCCAAGCCCCCAAATTGGGGAGGGAAAACGGTTCCCCAAGTCCCCCGGGGAGCGGCAAAACTATCCGCACCTGAGTGGTGATTTTTCTGAACTTCCTCTTAAGATTACCAAATGGAAAATTCTTATTTTAAATTAAAATGGCTTAAAATTAATTTGACTTTGACATTTCTTCAGAGCATTCTGTGGTTCTTTGTGAGACAAATCATGACACCCTGAAGTGTCCTGAAATCAAAGGTACGAATCATTGATTTGGGAAAAAGATTTTCATATAGAGAAACACAAGGGCAAATTACAAACACTGAATGAAAACATTAACTGGGTGAGAGACTTAGATCTTGCAAAAGCAAGCAGTAAATGTATTGGGTGGCTGGCAAGTGGAGTGAGCTGATGCTTATGTTCGTCATTACCGAGCCAAGAAGACACCTGTACCTCTCTCACGGGGACAGAGGCTCCTATAAAAGGAACGTGTATCTTCAGCTTGTTCCTGCCGGCCCGGCCAGTGTTCTCTCCATTTTAAAGGCTCTGTTAGGACAATGTTTACTTTTGCTAAATAGGCTCTGTTGACAGCTAATTTGCACAGTTTTAACAGCAATCTTCTTAAAAAGATGCTAACTGTCCAAAATTACAGTTTCATTTCCAAATAGAACATTTGTGATTACAGAATTACTACCTAATACCATGCAGTTCATAAATATGAATTAAGCTCCTTAAAAGTCGTAACGCTCCTCCACTCAGAAATTTATTCAGCATTAAAGAAGATGTTCCAAAGGTATGATTGCCCTTGAAAGCTTTTAAATCTGGTTTCTCGTTCTCTTCTCCTAGCTGTTCCCATTCCAAGAAACTCTGTCCTATTGACATGCTATGGGACAGCAACAAATGTAAATGTGTTTTACGGGAGGAGAATCCACTCATTGGAATGGAAGGTAATGATAACAGTAAGGAAATACTAGTAGTAATCATAAAAATAACAACTGCAATTAACTCAATAGATACTGAGTGCTTACTATGACTAGGCAATGTTGTAAGCCTTTTATATGTACCTATTAACTCATTCAATCCCCAAAGCAAACCTCTAATGTACTATTATTATCCCTTTTTTTAACAATCACAATGGGAACACACCAAGAAGTCTAGTTATTTTCTCCAGATCGCACAGCTAAGAGCGAAAGAAGCAGAGACCTGTGAGCTCTCCTTATATAGTAAGTCTACCAATGCATAGCTCTGCTTTTTAATCTTAAAGAAAAGCCCAGTGATTAGAGCATCCAATGACATTGGATTTGAAAGGCAGTGGTAGCCTTTCATGCAAACCACTTTAGAGCTAAACACTAGTTGACCACATTTTACTAACTTATTTGTATGGAAGTCTCACAGGAACAGAAAGTAAGTTTAGACTGGTTGGTTTCTTTCAACTGTGCCATGTGAAGACATGCCAATTATTTGAGAAAAAAATGGGACATAGGAGAAAACTTTTTCTGGAACTAGGGCAAGGTAAAAGCAAACCATGGCTAGCTATTGGGCTAAGAGGAGTGGGGAGCCGAATGTTGTCTTCGCTGCTCAGAACTCATAATGCTGTGATTTTGGGTGATGATCGTTTGGCTGAAAATGAATGCACTGTTAAAATTTATTTCCCAGAGAACATGACACTATTCCACTGAAAAAGATCACAAGGAGTCATGCACTTTGAACCTTGCTTGTTTTAAACTCTGATCTACAAGCAAGACTTTGTAAGGACTAAGCTCTATGGAGTACTGTCCTAGAAAACAGGGCTGCCTCTGTGGGTGGCAGGTTTTCCCCATGATTGATGTATATTCTAGCAGAGGATGTCTGGTTAGGATGTAAATAGCATTCAAGACCTGGGCACACTCTTGTTGTTAGTAAATTATACTGAACCTTAAATCTCTCTCTCCAGAACAGGACTGTTCAATGGGATTATAGTGAGAGTCATATGTAACTTACATTTTGTAGTACTCACATTAAGAAGGTCAAAAGAGGGGCGCCTGGGTGGCTCAGTCGGTTGTGTCCGACTTCAGCTCAGGTCATGATCTCACAGTTTGTGGGTTCAAGCCCTGCATCGGGCTCTGTGCTAACAGCTCAGAGCCTGGAGCCTGCTTCGGATTCTGTGTCTCCCTCTCTCTCTGCCCCTCCTCTCTCTCTCTCTCTCTCTCTCTCTCTCTCTCTCAAAAAGTAATAAACATTTAAAATTTTTTTAAAAAAGTCAAAAGAAACAAGTACAATTAATTTTTATATATTTCATTTAATCCAACATATCAAAATAGTACCATTTTAACATGCAATCCATATACAATTTATTAATGGGATATCCTGGGGATACCACAGCTGGTGCACATGTGCACGGAGGGGTGAAGAGTGGGAGGAAGGAGAGAAGTGCTCTGAGCAGGGTAAACCCGAGTGCTGAGGACTGAAAGTGAGATAAGGTAGCATGCCAGGGTACTAGAGAAAGTTCAGCATGGTGGGAACATAATGGGAAGGGGTTGGGTACATGTGAGAAAGGAAGCTGGAGAGGTTCACAGGGGACCTTGGGCAGCTGGTCCCAGACACTGGACATGATGCTAAGGGCAAAGGGAAACCACTCAGCTGGTTCAAGCAGGACAGTGACAGCACCAATTAGAATTTTAACACAATCCACCAGTGACAGGGTAGAGGAGGAGGTGTTGGCCCAGGGCTGGAAAGGAGGCAGGGGACCTCGGGGGACGTTGCAGCAGTGATGGAAGTGAGAGGCATGGGGTAGCTAGATCACGGTCACTTCTCCAGTGGCCCCATCAAACTGAGGACATATACTGAGCGTACTGTTCCCTACGCACCTTTTTCACACATGCCGCTGTTAAGCCAACTGCCTTTTCTACAATGACAGCTCTTCCCTGAGTGAGCACATTTGGGGTAGTGAATCCAAGACCAATCTAATTTCATCTCGTTGGATTCAGATCATTGCTTTAAACTGTGCAAACAAACAATACTGAAGAAGAAAAAAAGAAAAATTGAGGAGTCCTGATTCTATATTTTAAATTCCTCAAGACAGCCACAACTTCAAGAATTGGGGGAAAAAAAACCATGAGCTTACTGCTGGATGAATGAAGCAAGGCTGAGAGCAGAGCTCATGGTATCCCACCGTCACCCTCCCTAAGACTGAAATCACTATAGCATACGTCAGGGTATCACCCTTAGCTAGTTGCTGCTTTGCTCAGGTCTCCTACACCCGGTCTCTGTTACTTTTTTTTTTTTTTTTTTTTAACTAATCTCTACACCAAAGTGGGGCTCGAACTCATGACCCTGAGATCAAGAGTCGTATGCTCTACCTACCTGAGCCAGCAAGGCGCCCCAGTCTCTGTTACTTTTAATTAATGGCTATAAGGATTGAGGCCAGCCTCTGCCAACTACCTTGGTGAAGTTCAGCATCAAACACCCAGTGGACTGTGTTTCCTTAAACCACCTAAGAAGGGCATTGGTTCTACCTGAAGTGGCCTCATTGAATCTCTACCGCCACCTAGTGATTCATGCAAGTCTTTTAAGAGCTACTTGACTGTTCTTCAGCAATGTATTCATTTTGTTTTGTTTTTAGTTTTTAGTTTAATTTCAATATGGTTAACATACACTGTTATAGAAGTTTCAGGTGCACCATATAGTGATTCAACAATTCCATACATCACCTGGTGCTCATTACAACACGTGCACTCCTTCATCCCCATCACCTATTTAACCCACCACCCTCCTTCGCCTCCAGTAACGATCAGTTTGTTCTCTATAGGTAAGAGTCTATTTCTTGGTATGTCTCTCTCCCTCTTTGTTTCCCTTTGCTTGTTTTGTTTCTTAAATTCTACATATGAGTGAAATCATATGGTATTTGTCTTTCTCTGACTGACTTATTTCACTTAGCATTATGCTCTCTAACTCCATCCCTGTCATGGCAAATGGCAAGGTTTCATTCTTCTTTATGGCTGAATAATATTCCACTATGTGTGTGTATGTATATATATATATATATATATATATA